TAGCAACGAAATTAAATTGGTAACCAAAAAATTACCTAAGAACAAAAGTCCTTTACCAGATGGCTTCAGTGCTGAATTTTATCTAACATTTAGAGAAGACAATACCATCCTCCTTAAAGTTTTCCAAAAAGTAGAAGAGATGGAAATACTTTCAAACTCATTCTATGAGGCCAGCATTACTCTAATACCAAAACCAGGCAAAGACACCACAAAAAGAGAAAATTATAGACTGATATCCCTGATGAACACAGATGCAAAAATACTCAAGAAAATATTAGATGCAAAAATACTCAAGAAAATATTAGCAAACTGAACTAAAAAATACATCAAAAAGATCACCCATCATGATCAACTGGGACTATTCCAGGGATGCAAGGATGGTACAATATTCAAAAATTCATCAACATCATCCACCACATCAACAAAAAGGAGGACAAAAACCACATGATCATCTCCATAGTTACTGAAAAAGCATTCAACAAAATTCAACATCCATTCATGATAAAACTCTCAACAAAGTGGGTATAGAAGTCAAGTACTTTAGCATAATAAAGGCCATATATGACAAACCCACAACCAACATCATACTTAACAGCAAAACGCTGAAAGCTTTTCCTCTTAAGATCAGGAACAAGACAAGGATGCCCATTCTCCCCACTTTTATTCAACCATAGTACTGGAGGTCCTAGCCACGGCAATCAGAAAACAAAGAAATAAAAGGCACCCAGATTGGTAAGGAAGAAGTTAAACTGTCACTGTCTGCAGGTGACATGATATTATATAAAAAATCCTAAAAAATCCACCCCAAAACTACTAGAATAACTGAATTCAGCAAGTTTGCAGGATACAACATGATGAACTAGCAGAAAAAGAAATCATATGTATTCGAAAAGAGTAAAATACATAGGAATATACCTAACCAAGGAGGTGAAAGAACTATACCCTGAAAACTACAAGATGTGAGAGAAATTAAAGAAGACACCAATAAGTGAAATACATCCTGTGCTCATGGATAGGAATAACTAATATTGTCAAAATGGCCATCCTGCCCAAAGCAATTTACAGATTCAGTGCAATTCCTATCAAAATACCAACACTATTTTTCAATGAACTGGAACAAATAGTTCTAAAATTCATATGGAACCACAAAAGACCCCGAATAGCCAAAGCAATCCTGAGAAGGAAGAATAAAGCAGGGGTAATCTTGATTCCCAACTTTAAACTGTACTACAAAGCCACAGTAATCAAGACAATTTGGTACTGGCACAAGAACAGACCCACAGACCAGTGGAACAGGATAGAGAGTCCAGATATTAACCCAAACATATACAGTCAATTAATATATGATAAAGGAGCTATGGATATACAATGGGGAAATGACAGTCTCTTCAACAACTGGCATTGGCAAAACTGGACACCTACATGTAAGAGAATGAAACTGGATTATTGTCTAACTCCATACACAAATGTAAACTTGAAATGGATCAAAGACCTGAACGTAAGTTATGAAACCACAAAACTCAGAATAAAATATAGGCAAAAATCTCTTGAATATAAACATGAGCAACTTTTTCATGAATGCTTCTCCCTGGACAAGGGAAACAAAAGCAAAAATGAACAAATGGGACTACATCAAATTAAAAAGCTTCTGTACAGCAAAGGACACCATCAGCAGAACAAAAAGGCATCCTACAGTATGGGAGAATATATTTGTAAATGACATATCCAATAAGTGGTTAACATCTAAAATATATAAAGAGCTCACACGCCTCAACCCCTCAAAAGCAAATAACCCAATTAAGAAATGGGCAGAGGTCTGAACAGACACTTCTCCAAAGAAGAAATTCAGGTGGCCAACAGGCACATGAAAAAGATGCTCCACATTGCTAATTATCAGGGAAATGCAAATTAAAACCACACTGAGATACCACCTCACACCATTTAGGATGGCCAACATCTAAATGACAAAGAGCAACAAATGCTGACAAGGATGAGGAGAAAGTGGAACCCTGGTACACTGTTGGTGGGAATGTAAATCAGTTCAATCACTGTGGAAAGCAGTATGGAGGTTCCTCAAAAAACTAAAAATAGAAATATCATTTCACCCAGTAATCCCACTCCTAAGAATTTACTTGAAGAAAACAAGATCCCTGATTTGAAATGACATATGTACTCTGTTTATCGCAGCACTATTTATAAGCCAAGATATGGAAGCAACCTAAGTGTCCATCAGTAGATGAATGGATAAAGAGAAGAGGTACATATACACAGTGGAATATTATTCAGTCATAAGAAGAAAACAAATCCTACCATTTGCAACAACATGGATGGAGCTACAGGGTATTATGCTCAGTGAAATAAGCCAGGTGGAGAAAGACAAGTGCCAAATTATTTCCCTCATTTGTGGAATATGAAGGAACAAAACTGAAGGAACAAAACAGCAGCAGACTCACAGATTTCAAGAAGGGACTAGTGGTTACCAAAGGGAAGGGGTTGGGGAGGAAGGGAGAAGGGGATTAAGGGGCATTATGATTAGCACGCATAATACAGGTGGGTCACTGGGGAAGGCAGTGTAGCACAGAGAAGACAAATAGTGACTCTGGCATCTTACTCTGCTGATGGACAGTGACTGCAATGGGGTGTGGGGGGGACTCAATAATATGGGTGAATGTTGTAACCACAATGTTGCTCATGTGAAACCTTCATAGGATTGTTTATCAATGATACCTTAATAAAAAAAATGGCAGACGAAAGGGGTATGTGACTTCTAGAGATCCTTATCCAGGACAACTGGATCCCTCTTATTTTTGTGGGACCCTGCTTAGTGCCAAGTGGAATTGTTACCCAGAGATCTGAGTCCTTTAGGATTGGGGCTGGTGGGGGGGTGGGGGAGTTAGGAAGGCCTGGGCATGACGCTCAGTAGCTGGGATAGCTACACAGAAGTGTCCTCGAGGCTACTTTTAATTCAGATCCCTGATGCACCCGTTTTTCCCGTTCTTTGGGAGTGGGAGAGGGTGAGAAAGTAGCAACTTGAAGGCCCTTTCCTTCTGTCTCTGCAGGTCTCCTGATAACAGGAGGCGTGTCCCATCTTCACATCTCACACAGAGATGTGCTGGCCCCCAAGCCTGCGATCCTCATACCGTACCTCTGAAGACTCTGGTTTATGGACAGAGACTATCATTAAAGTTAAATTTACCATCATTGTTCTCTCTCTCCTTCTCAGCCCTTTTATTCCTAGAACCTCTCATTTCCTCTTCTCTTATTAACACTGCCAGCACAAACTGTTTTCCCTTTCAGAATTCCCAGACATTTTCACCACTGACAGGATTTAGTGTGAAAGGAGAAAGGGAAAAACCCACTTGATTTGCCTTAATACTAGATTTTGCCTTACACCCCATTTCCAAAGTCAGTCACCAAATAAAGCCTTGTTTGTACTTATAGACTCTTTTGAGGCCCCAGCCCCAGCTGTTTTTGGGAAGGAGTAATAAAGTTTGTTTTTTTTTAGCTACTTTCCATTAGTGTTCTCCCTTCACAAGGCCATTTTGGTCAGATGGAAAAAAATACAAGAAATCCTTCTTTTAAATATTTCCTCCTTTTATGCCTAAAAATATTAACTGTGAGCTCACCTCTCCTGATTGGGTAAAGAAACTTGTCTTATTTCTTCATCTTTCATTTGGACTTGCTATGCTACTCCTGAGGGTCCTAGGAAGAACCAGAATTCAACGTGCCTTCTTTGTATGGAACTGAAAGGTTCAGTATGATTTGGTAGCCACTAGTTGGGTATGACTAAAATTAATTAAAATACAATTTAAAATTCAGTTCCTGAGTTGCCCTAGCCACACTTCAAGAGAGCAAAAATCATGTAGTGGTACCTACTGTGTTAGCACAAATTTAGGACAGTTCCATCACTGCAGGAAGCCCTTTTAGACCTTCTATAGAGGGCTAGGGTCCCCATCTCTCTGCTTCTGTAATCCCATTTTATCAGTCAATAAATACTTATCTGCATGGGACTTTGAACCCAGCTGAATCCTCTGTCTTGAGGATTATCATGATTTTAATTGCTGTTGTCAAGAAAAAATGCTTAAAGAGGCTCAACTTTGTCTAATATTCAGTAAAAGTTTTGTGAGTAATCTAGCATGGTTGTTAGGAATGAGTAAACAAGTGTAGCGAGTGATAATAATAGTGTATTAAACATACTTTGTGCTTAGCGAGAGATTGTGCTATAAAGCACATCCACTTAATCTGCATAGGCTGAATCCTCTGGCTTGAGGATTGTCATAATTTTATTGCTGTTGCTATTGTATGTCATTAGTCTGGTCACAATGCTCCAGCTTTCTTGCTCAGTGACCACTGCGGAAGAAGGGGACCAGTAGATTGTAAGGCGAGATTTCTGGAGGGGTGGCCTGTGGGTAAAATTGTAACATTTCTAGAATATCTCACCTGGCTTTAGTGCATTTGCATATCCTCAGGGGTGGAGAGTTCATCTCCAAGTCAATGGGTAATTACCTGGGCAACAGAGGGCATGTCTGAACCTGAGAGGTTAGGGGGAGTTCTGGTTTTGCTTTTCCTGGAGTAGGAGAGAGAAATGGCCCTGGACTGCAGTTTGTATGCAAAAAACGGATTTTAAACTTTCTCTCCTTTGACTAATTTTGGTTTTAGAGGTATTTTGCTCCGGGATTTTCTCTCCCCGGACGTACAGACACCCACACATTTCCCTTCCCCCTGAGTCTGATCTATTTTACAAACGGGAGCATATGTACACACATATGGAGAGGCAGACAGACTTCTGGCCATTTCTTCCCTGTGCTGCAGAAGGATGCAGGATGCCACCCTCATAGGTCCCTAAACTGATTTTCTGGCTCTTCCTTAGCTGCCCAGAGCCTTGGCTTCTGTGCTGAGGAAGTAGAGAGGAGAGGAACACTGCCTACAAAGTACAGTGCGACAGGCTTAATGCTCTTAAGCAGGACTTAATGCTTAATGGGAAGTCATTCTGCAAATTGTCATTTGTGAACCGACATGAGGTGTTTTTACTGCCCTCCATCCTGCACTCCAGACTGGAAGCAATTAAGCATTTTCAGAGGATTTCAGGAAAATGCAAAGCCATCTTGGCAGCACAGACTGGCTGCAATGAGGTTGGTGGGGCTAAGGGCTGTTTTGGGGGCAGGGTGGGCCCTTCACAGTCAGATCACACCTGTCAGCCAGCCAGTGCAGGGGACCTCCAGGCTCCAGAACACCTTGCTGAGCTGAGCTGGTGGACTTGTCAGCAGAGTTGTTGAGCAGCCCTTGCTCCATCTGGGCTTTGGTAACAGCGAGGGCCTGTTCCACCTGCAGGGAGGAGAGACAGAGGTGATCCAATTGCTTCCGGGTGGCGGCTTCCTGGGGCCTGGTTCCAGGCGTGGAAGGGGGCAGGGTCCCCTGGCTTCTGTCTTTGGTTCTCAGGCATCTCAGCCATGCTGGGGAGCGCCTGGGGCTTCCTTTCTCCACCCCACCTATCCCACAGTCACCTGGCGTTTGCTCTTGAGATTCCTTCTTCCTGGCAGTGGGGTCCCCACCTTCCCCGCCCTCTGCTCTCCTCCTCTGGGGCCTTTCCACGGTCAGGCCCAGTGGTCTGCCCTCACTGTGGGGTCTGCAGGGTCCTCAGGCAGTGTGTGCTATGGGGTGAGGGTGCTTGGGCTTTCCCACAGGTTGGTGACAGGGGGCATAGCTTCGGCTGTGGCTGCCTCTCCCCCAGAGGAAACAGTTTTGCTGAAGGGGTGGGAGCACAACCCTCTCCCCCATAGGGACAGGCCAGCCACACGGCCTCCCAATCACTTTTCTTTTTCCCTACCTACCTTGACGGCACCTCCTGACCAGGAACACAATTCCAGCCACCAGCAAGAGAATGGTGATAACAATGGTGATGGAGGTCATCCACTGGTGAGAGGGTAGTTCTAAGGAAGGCAGAGAAAAGGGGGTACCACCCCCAGCCAGGGGACTATCTCTGGATGCCTTGGGACCTGGCTTGCCCTACCTCCCCTCCTTCCAGCCAAGCCCAGCTCCTCACCCAAGGCCACAGTGAGCACATGGTCCAGGCTGGAGTGCTGCACATGGCAGGCATACAAGGCCTCCTTCCCAGCTGGCACCCATACGGCTGCCCACGTCTGGTAGGTGCCATCCCCGCTGGGCCGTGTCTCCACGTACTCGGTTTCGAGAGCTAGCTCCTCCTCACCCAGCCACCAGCTCAATGAGATGTCCTGTGGGTAGAAGCCCAGGGCCCAGCACTTCAGCATGGTGCCCCCAGCCTGGGCTGTGCGGCCTGTCACGTGCACTCTGGGTGGCTCTGCAGGGAGACATGGGGGAGCGAAGCTGGTGAGCAGCTGCTCTCCGCCATCCCTCACGCTTGACCCTGGGCTCCTCCGATATCTTCAGGGTGTGAGACAGGGTCTCTCCAGGGGAGGCACTTGACCAGTGTTGGAGGCAGGGATGATCCACTGGCAACTGTCCCAAAGGGGCTGCTCCTGGGGGTTCCCATGGCAGAGATGTGATTTCCTGCCCCCAAACTCCAAGGAGGGTCCTGTACTGACAACCTGCTTCTCACCACTGAGATGTTCCATATTTCACTGTGACTTCTTGCACACAGTAGGTACCTAACAAGAGGTTGTTAAATGAAAGCAAGACCCATGGCCCTTCCCTCACCATGGAATGAGGGTGGTTGCAAGCCTGGCTCTAGAGCTGGACAGCCTGGGTTGGACACCCAGCCTGCCACCTGTGCACAGCCCCCATCTCTTAGTGCCTAATGGGGGTCTATCATTACTTTCTTTCAAGTGTTGTTCCAAATGGCATAATGATTTGGATTTGAGGGTTCGTTTTAAGTGTCAGCCTCACTGGGCCACGCAGTGTCCAGGCATTGGTCAAACCGTGTTCTGGGTGTTTGTGCAATTGTGTTTCTGGGTGAGAGTCACATCTGAACCATTGCACGTCTGAACAGGACAAAATGGCTGAGTGAAAGGGGACTCCTGCCTGCCTGCTTGGAGCTGGGGCATCTTTTCCTGCCTTTGGACTCAAACTGAAACACTGGCTGTCTTGGAACTCCAGCCTGCCAACTGCAGATCTGGGGAGATCCCAGCCTCCTGTCTGTGAGCCAGTTCCTCTCTACTTCTCTTCCTCTACATGCTGTTGGTTGGTTTCTGTGGAGAACCATGCCTAGTCAGCAGGTGAAGGGTGCAGAAGGCCCCCTAGTGCCGGGTGAGAGCTCAACACCCAATAATCTAGGACAGGCTTAGGTGCTTTGAGGAGGGAGGGGCGGTTACTATACTGAGGAAGAAACTGAGGATCACCGCCCCCGGAAGTCCTGGGGCTGGGACACGGATCCGGAGGGTGGGTTCCAGCCTGGGCTCTGACTGTGTGCGTGCTGCTCCCCTTCATGGTATTTGTCCTGGCCTCCTCTGGGGGGTGACCTCCCCATCACCTCAGCCAAGGCACCATGCACCACTCACACCAGACACACATGGCGAGGCCCTGTCTCAGCCGCCCAGCACCCACCTTCCCTAATGTTTGTTCCAGCCCTGCTGGCCAGTGTCAGGATGGAGGGCGTGTGTGGGAGGAGTGGGGAGAAGGGCATCAACCTCCCTGACAGTCCTCAGTGGCCCAGGGACCAGCCTGGGGTCTGTTTCCCAAGGAGTTTTTAAAAGTACTTTATGACCACCTGTAGATAAGGAAGGCCCATAGTTAAGGGGTTTACTCCCCAAGACCACTGTGTAGGGAGACTCCCCAACCCCCCTGAAGCAAGGGCCCGTGGTCTGGGCTCTGTCCTGCTCTGCATGAGGAACCTGTTACTGGCTGGCTGGCTTTCTGGGCCAGGAGAGCAGAGCCATCCCCTCACTCCCCAGGGCCTCTCTGTGAAGCGGGATGGCTCTTGTGAACGGGAGCCTGGAACCACTTGCCAAGGGGCCTTACCTCTCCGAGTGAAGCTCTGGCCTCCCAGCTCCAGGTACCTGCGCAGGGAGCTGAGGCAGATGCTTTCCAGGTAAGCCTTGTCGTATTCTGCATAGCAGCGCTCGGCCTCCCACCAGCGCTTGGTCCCTATGGCCACATGCTTGGCTGACACCCAGCTCAGTGTCTCCAGGTCCAGAGACAGGTGGTCCTGCCCATCAAAGCCAAACTGCCAGAAGGCACTGGAGTGGCCGTCCTCCTGGACCTCACAGCCGAACATGCGCTGTGTGCTGTGCATGCCTGCAGGTGGGCAAGAAGGCTGCCTGAGATGCCTGGGGTCGTGACGGGTAGCCCACCAACCACAGGGGCTTTGGACTCAAACTGAAACACTGGCTGTCTTGGAACTCCAGCCTGCCAACTGGGGTGGGGGGGCAGGGTGCTAGCATTTAAAGAAATGATCCCCAGGTAATTTTCATGAGAAGCCTGCTGAGTCTCTTATGTGGGAAGAGGGCCTGAATTCATTAGGCACATCATTACTTGAAGGGAAAATGGCTACTTACAGGTGTAACATGTCCTCAGAGGTAGAACTAAGTCATGCCCCAATTTCAGTGATGTTAAAATGTGAACTCTGGTGAGCCTGATGGTTACAGGGGCCACTGGGGGCTGGTGGTGGTCATCCCAGGGGCCCTGGGCTGCTGCACAGCTCTTCCCAGTCTTGGGCCTTTGCACCTACTCCTTCCAAGGCCTCTGGGACCTGAGACTTCCAGTCACTTGGGTGTCCAGACACGTGGGGGATGGGTGCTGTGTGGGCAAGCTGTGCCCCACAGGTGCCTCATCCAGGCTGGCAGCCACCCTGACAGTGGGTGTGAGCTCACCACTGCTGAGACCAGGATATTAAGGCTGAGAAATGCCCCCAGTCCTTGCTGATGCTGGGCAGAGCAGGGTCCTCGCCTGGGCTCTCTTCCACCCTTAGCTATCCACCTAGTTCAAGTTCATCTGGCCTCCCTCCCCTATGAGGCAGGATGGTGTCGGAGCCTGGGGGTTGGTGTGATATGAGGCGTTTGGGGAGGGTGGGAGGTGAGGAAGGACAAGCTTTGCCAGTTTGCACCTGGTGGCAGAGGGAGAGGCCAGGATTAGGAGAAGTGCGCTCTGCCTGGCTGTGGGGTTAGAGCCACGCGTCAGGAGCACACCCTGCACCCTCTGAGAGGCTCCAGGAGGCAGCCTGTCCCCTGGCAGGCACAGCTGCCTGGAGCATGAACATGCAGGTGGGCAGGGAGCGGGGCCCGGGGGCCCGCCCAACGCACCGCTGCTGTGGTTGTGGTAGCCCATCACCATCCATGTCTCCACCTGCTGCACCTTCGCCCAGACCCTCTGCTTCTGGGTCTCTGTCTCCCAGTACTGGGCATCCAGGGGCGCCATCCATGGGACCTGGGGCTCAGCCCTGTCCGCATGACTGTCATACTGGATGAAGGGATGGTCGTCCACATAGCCTACAGCCAGAAACTGGGGTAGGTCCGGGCCTGGCGCTGACAGGGCCAGGTAGTGGTAGCGGAGGGAGTGAGTCCCTGTGGAAACACAAAGTGGCCCTGGGCTTACTGGCACTGCCAGGGTCTGCGCCAGGGATGGTGTGACATGGTGGGTGGGGCAGGAGAAACCTGTCAGGAGTGCCGGCTCTCAGGGAGTGCAGGAGCTGGGAATTACAGTCATAAAAGCAAGGGCATCCCAACAGGTTAGAAAGATAATCAGACACTGAGGCCAAATTCATGCGTGAAGGTTTGTGGACTTTATGCCCAGAGGTTTCCTAGTTCCTCTCTCAGGGCCCACTTACTCAGGCTTTGCACTCATGTCTGGAGTTCAATGTGATTCTCTGGTGTCCCATCTTACAATTAAAAAGTGTAATTTTTAAAAAGTAGGTTTGGAAGCTTAACTTACATGGAATCATTCATTCCCCAGAGATGCTGGATAAAGGTGGTCCATCACTTTCAGCCTGAGTCATTGCTGACAAGCGGGTGGCATCCCAACTCCATTACCTGCTCCTCCCGCTCCCACAGCAGATGTTGCTAGTTGATCTCTTCTCTTTAAGTGCAAAAGCAGCCTCATAGTTGTTCTCTACTGTCTCCAGAAGCACCAGCTCACCCATTCAACATGGTGCTGGAAGTGAAATCTACTCTGCAGCCAGTTCTGACTCAAGTTATTAAAACAAACGTATCTTTAAAAACTCAGCCCACTTCAGGAATCTCCATGGATCACTCCCTTAATTTTTTAAAAAGGTTTTGCTCAAATGCCACTTTATCAGTGATGCCTTTCTTGCCTGTCCCATGAAATATTTACCTTCCTAGTACTCCTGTCATTGTGTTTTCTCCAGAGCACAACCAGTTCATAAAGAATATGCACTTCACTTGTCTATCTTGTTCAGTGTGTCTCTCCCCTGCAATCTCAGCTCACAGGGATTGGGATTCCTGTATGGATTGTTCTTGTTTCCCCAGGGCCAAGAACAGCATCTAGCACACAGTAGGTGCTCGATGTCTGAACACTGAAATGTGAAAGGAGGGGCTCAAACACCTTCACAACTGTTTACCTACACTGCAGCCACACCAAACTCTGCCCAGGCCCTCTGCCCCAGCACTCCCCTCTCCTCTCTTGTGTTGGCCAATGTCTCCTCATCCCTCCGGTTGTAACTCAGGTGTCCCTTCCTCCAGGAAGCCCTCCTCATTCCACCCTGACATCTGTCAGAGGGGCCTCTGTGCTCCCTGTGGAGCTGTGGGCTCCATGAGGGCAGGCCACACATCTGTGTCACCGACGTTTCTACAGGCCTTTGGGGGAACACCACACCTGGTGCACAGTGGGCACTCACTTCCTGTGTTTGTTGAATTGGACAAAAAACGAGAGCATGAATAGCAGTGATGATCACAGCCTGCCCTGGTCTGGCTTCTTTTCATTTACCATCTTAGTTGATCCTGAGGATAAACCCCAGGAGTCAGTGTGACTGGCCCTGCTTTACAGATGAGGCTGAGTCCTGCACTAGAAGGTGGGGAGGCTGCATTCTCTCCCCAGAGCCTGCTGCCTTTATCTAAGCTCAGGAAAGATGAACTCTTGGCACAAGGTTGGAGGAATCTCCTTCTAGGAGGTGAGAAGGGTCAGCACTGAAAGTGTTTGTGCACAGGGTTGCCACCAGGGCTGGGCTGTGGTGAGCCTCTGGGAATGACTGGAACCTCTCTCAGGGTGCCGTTTCCTTGCAAACCACCCACTGAAAGTCAGTGGGGGCATGCCTGGGCTGGGTGCTGTGAACAGGCACAGAGCCTTGGGGGAACAGAGGCTGAGGCTTCTCTGCATCATGGTGACCTATTGCTCCTTGGCTGTGATCTGCGGTAGCTCTGCCTGACACCCTGGTTTCAGCCCAGTGAATCCCATGTGGGACTTCTGACCTCCAGAAGTAAGAAAATAAATGTGTGTTGTCTTAAGCCACCCAGTTGTGGTCATCTGTTACAGCAGCTATCGGAAACGAATACATGTGGTATTAGACTAAAGCCTGTTGTGTCCTGTGAGATTGGTGGCCAGTTCAAACCCGTAAGCGCTGAAGGTCATGGCTCTTGCTGCCCTGAAACTGGGAGGGAGGTGGCTGCACAGTCTGGGAAGAAGGACGTCCCCTGAAAACTGCAGCCAGAGTCTCTGAGCCACTGCTGGGACCGAGGCCTGAGATGCAGAGCAGGGTCCCAGGGACCCCGGTGCTCCCACCACCAGAGAGCCCCCAAAGGTACTGACATGCTCGTCCCCAGGTGTGAGAAGGTGCTGAAGACCAAGCGATCCCAAGGCCGGGCATGGTGGGAAGCCAAGCAACACACCACCGGTTGTTGGGTTAGGGCTGGCATGCTAACTGCTTAGTGTGTAATGTTAGTGTTTGTTAATGTCAGCTGCTTTAATGGCCAGTTATCTTGGGTTAAAAGTGAGGGGAAGTCTATCAATATGCTCCTTTTAAAATTTACAAAAGAATTCCAAAGCACTTAGGTGCTGGGCCATATGTGGAGCACTTTACAAAATTCTGGCTAGGCTGACCCTCATAGCAACTTCATCAGGCAGGTCCTGTGGTACCTCAGATGGATGGAAAAATGAGCCATGGAGAGGCAAAGTCACCTGCCAACCTCATACCAGCAGCGAAAAACAGGGCCAGACAGCATACCCAGGCTCTCCAGGAGGCCCTGGCCACACCCGCCCTTCAGTGAACAAGCTCCTGTGGACACTGTGCGGCTGGGCACAGGCGAGCAGGCCCCTCTGCATTGGTAGCTCCCCACTCTCTGCCCTCCCTAGACACCATCCTGGTTACCGGTTAAGCTAGCTCAGCCCTACCTACCCAGCAGCCTAGATGACATGGCCCCTGGGGCCCTCCCTGCTGCTCTACTCGGCCAGTACTTTCTGAGCACCAACTGTCTGACCCTCTCTGAGGCCCTGGGGATGCTGGGATAGGCAGAATAATATACCCCCACCTCTTGCCTGCTCTCAGAAAGCTTAAAGGAATGTAGGATAAGCAAGATAAACAACACAGGACGACAGGATGGACAGTGATGAGTGCTGAGGGTGAAAAATAAAGCAGAAATATGCAAAATGTTAGGGGAGAGGTTTAAAATTATGGTTACAACAGGCAGGGAAGGCCTCTCCCAAAAGGAGTAAAACCCTGAAGGAGCCAGCCATGTAGAGATCTGGGAGAGCACATTCTAGGTCTGCAGCGGGGAGAGCCAGTGCAAAGGTCCTGAGGCAGGAGCGTGCTCTGGGTGTTTGTAGGCCGCTGCAATTATGCAAGGGAAAAAATAAAACAGTGCTGGGATTTGGCAGCAGGAGGCAGTAGCAGTGAAAGAAGGGGTTGATCCCAAATCTTCTTCCAGACAGTGTCCGGAATGGCCTGGATGCAGCCTCTGGCCCAGTCCTTCCTGCTACACTCTGGGCTGCCTCTCCCACAGCCCACGCTATGGCACCCCGTGCCCATCTTGGGGGTCAGGCACCTATTTGGGAGACAAGTACATGACTGTGGGCCCCTCATTCAGCTCACTTCCAGGCACTGCCTTCCACGTACCCAGTGAGGGGCCTACCATCCCTTCTTCCCTAAAAATCCTCTGCTGTCTGCTCTCTGTGGGCTCACAAGCTGCCCATACGCCTCTTCTGCCGGAGGAAGACAGTCTGAGCTTGGCCTGGACATCCAGTTACTCACTGGACCCAGGAGGGATCATTAGTGCCTTGGGCTCCTGCCCAGAGGGGGCAAAAGAAGCTGAGAGGGCAATCATCAGGCAACCTCTGTCTTTGGAGGTGACACCCCTGGCTGGCTGGGTAAATGCCAGCTACTGTGGAACCACAGCAGAGGACGTGGGGGCCACACGGGGGTTTCCAGGTTAATCTCTGCTGTGACATGGCCTAAGAAGGTAGCACATGCCCATGGCTGCCTCAGGGTCAGTCTGTATCATCGCCCCTCCACTGCCGCTTCCTGGTCACTGGGCCATGTGGCCAGTCCCCAGTAGGGGACAGTTCTGACCCCCTTAAGCAGATCCTCCCTCTTCCTCTGACTGTGATGGGGGAGGGAGGTGCAGGGCCTGCCCTGGAGACTTGGCTTGCATCGTCCCCACCTCCGCAGAGCCCAAGTTGGCACTGCCACTCTGTGTTGCTTTGAGGAAGTTCCTGCACAGCTCGCAGCCTCGGTTTTCCTATCTGTAAGTGGGGGCAATTAATTGACTTGCTCCATGGCGCTGGAGCATTCACGGAACTAATGAACATAACAGAGAAGTGCAGGCTTGCAGGAAGGTCTCTGCAGACATCATCTTAGCCTCATACCTTTCCTATCCTGAAGGAGAGGCAGGCATGGGAAAGAAAGAACTGGAGTTGGGAGAGTCCTAGCCAGGCCTCAGGCCCTGGGGCACCTCCAGAGGCTCTGGCCTCTGTGTCTCCTACCTTGGCAGTTCCCCAACCCCAGGACAGTCCACCAGGTTCCCAGACTGTGACATGCCCTCCTGCAGGCTGGGGGCTCCTGGCCCCCTCCAACCTGTCCCTCCTTCCACAGGTGGGCAAGGCCTTACCTCTTGGCCATGGCTTGTCTTCCAGTTGCACTTTGGCTAGTTCTGCCATCAACACCTTTGCTAACGGAACGGGGCCATCGGCCACTAAAGGCAGTGCCCAGGGACTCTCTGCAAGGGGGAAATGGAGAAAGGAAGTATGAATCTCAAGGCATGAGTACCCTACACATCCTTGTGTCTGCTGGGAGGGATGGCATGAATGATAACAGTATAGAGTGATGAGAGGCACAATGGGGAGAGAGACACGGGGGACTTTTTCAGGAGACTGGAACCTTCTCTGGCACACAGGCAAAAATCCAGTTGGCCTGAGTTCTGGGCCTCGGTGCTAGGCATGGTTCTGGGCTTTCCATGGTGTTTCGCCGCATTCCTGTGAGGTAGGCCCTGACTGTAACCACCTAGAGAGGAGGGAAGCTGGGCTGGGCTGCCTCCCCCTCTGCCTGAAGGTCTCCACCTGGCTGCCCCAGCACTGCCTGGGGCTTTGACAACCCTGCTGTTGACAGGCATTTCGTGGGTTTAGCCTGCACCCTGGCAGCATCGAAACCTCCCCAGTGATGCTCACATGCTGCCAGCTGGGTCCAAATCCTAACCAGCCATGGAACTGTGCAATCCTGGGTAGCTGGTTAGCTTCTTAAAGCCCCAGCTCTTTACTGTGGGGATAATAAATGAATCGTCCATCACAGGGCACCCTGAGGCTCAGCACGCCCTCCTGCAGCACTCAAATCTGCCCCATGGAGGCCACTTCCTCCCTCCCTACCTCCTGAAGGGAAACTGGCACCCAGGAGCACTGTGAGGGTCCTGCCAGGAGCCCCTGGCTACTTCCCCATCACAGGCCATCTCCCTACAATCTGGCACACACCTGGGGTTATCCTACCACTCCTACCCTCTTCCTTGGCTCAGGGTCCCATCACCCTGGGCCAGCCCTGACACCCCTCACACCCAAAAGGCTACAGAGCCTGTGTGCACACACCCATGAGCATCCCTGCCATGCAGAACTGGGATCATCTGTGTGCTCCTACTGCACCAGAGAGGGGCTATGAGAAGGATCCCCAGCAGCTGTGTGAACCTGAAAACCAAGACTGGTTACACAGCTCTGGCCCAGAGACACTGGCCCAGTCCCCCCAGGTTCCAGGTCTAGGGATGTTGGCCAAACTCTACCCTGATCTGTGCAGACATCCAGGATAATTCTCTATCAAGTGTTTCCCTTGGGCAGCTGATGGCTGAATCCTCCTGCACGGGCAGCTTGTTGAGCTCAGGAGCCTCAACTTGGAGGGAAAAATAACATTTATTTTCACTTACCTCCAGGGGAAATTAAGCCTTTCTCCCATTATGAATGGAGTTTGTAACAAGGCTCATCAGGTTTAGCAGGACCTGTACCTTGATACCCCATAGAAGGCCACAGTTCTATTCGAATCACATGACAATTGCTGCAGACACCTGGAAATGTGCTTCACCCTCCTTCCAAATTCAGGGAACTGTTGCTATTTAATGCATTATTTAATGTGTTAGCTTAGGAGCACATACATTACAGATCACATATACATAATTCTAGTTCAAAACTTTAATGGCTTTGTAGAAACACAATTGGGTTTCTCTGTAATCCTATGCATTTATTTCATTTTACGCATTAAAAACACTCTTAGAGACGGGTAAGATTCCTCAAGGGAGGAACAACCTAAGACAGGCACAGTTGCAGGGGAGCCATCAGGTGAGAAATTGGGCATCAACAGAGGTGAGGCTTAGAACCTCACCCCCCCTGTTTTGAGAGCAATCTTCTGCATCCATGGATGTTTTGTTGCCCTTTTCTAGCTTGGATTAATACTTAGTCTATAGGCACACACCTGATCATCTACATTTGCCCTCTTACAGCACTAAACTATGTTTTCTATGTTTATCTTGCATCTACCTACCACTTCAGCATTTTATTAATAATAAGGGAGAAATGTGGGATTCACATATAAATCAAGTATAAAAATCAAACGAATAATATTTGACCTGATTGTTTATAGTTCATAATGCGTGATCAAAACCGAAAGTTTCTGTGATGACTGCCCTTGCACTGTTCACCATGTAAGAACTTACTCACTATGTAAGAACTTGTTCATTATGCTTCAGAAGATTGGAGACTGTTGAGAATTAGGCTTGGGGTTGATTAATGATTGTGCATTGAGTCCCCTATACAGAATTTTATTGTTGTTAACAACCATTTGATCAATAAATATGAGAGATGCCCTCTCAAAAAAAAACACACAACACTCTTAGAGGGAGTCCAAGGCACAAAAAAGGTGAAGAACTATTCTATCCTGCCACCTAGCGCCTACTCTGTAAATCCGTTAATTGTAAACTGAGGCTGTGTCCCGAGAGACGAAATGGCGTCTTTGCTTGTGAAGCGCTTAGAATAGAGCTTGGCAGAAAGCACACCAGCTCTTACTACCAGAGCGATGGCGGACACCTCCTCGCCTGTGCTAATAAAAGTCCCCGCTTGGGTGCACCTGGCCGGACTGGGCGGTGACCTAAGCGAGCCGTGGGAACCCAGGATATGGCCCGGCCAGCTCTGCTCGCAAAACTGAAACCGGGACGGAATGGAAATTCCGAGCCGGGTCAGAGAAATCCCCTTTCCCCTCTTCATCCTCTAGCTCCTCCAGGGGCCGCACTGTCAACCGGAGAGCGGCTCTCACAGACCCAGTGAGACGCCCCGCGGGGAGCGATAGCTGGCAGGGGGCGTGTCGGCCACCTGGTTACTGCCCGCAAAAGACCCCCACCCCCACCCCCGGGGCCTTCCGGAGAACCCAGGCCCGGGAGCCGAGCGCGAGCGGCGTGCTCCGAAGGCGCGCACGGGGAACTCCCGGAAGCTGCGGCGTCGGCTAGGCCGCGCAGGGGGCGCCGCCGGACCCCGCCGCCCCGATCCGCAGCGGTAGGCGACAGACAAGGGCCTGCCGCACCCGCGGCTCGGCGCCCCAGCAGTCCCGAGTCAGCCCCCGACTCCCCGTCCCCATCCCCGTCCCCAGGCCCGCTCTGTCCCCAGGCTCCCTCAGCCGCGCTCCGCTCCGGTCGGGGGACGACTGTCCTGCCCTGGTCCCCGGCGCCCCTCCGCCTCATCACCTGCCGCACGTTCCGGCACCAGCCCCAGCACGAACAGGAGCAGCACCAGGGCCGGCAGCGGCCCGGCGCGCGCGCTCCTGGGGCTCCTCCAACTCCTGGCCGCCAGCCTTGCGCTCTGCCCCGGGCGCCGACCTCCGCGGAGCCTGTCTGCAGAGGTGGGGCCCGCCGCCTGGAGCCGACGCCTTCACGGGCCCCGGGGCGCGAGGGAGAAGCTTTCGGAAAGTCCGCCGGCAGCGGCCCCAGCCCGCCCCGTTTTTACTAGGACTTTAGCTCCGACTGAGACTCCGGCCCCGGCTGACTCCCGCTCCAACTCCGTCCCACCCTGGCTCTTCGCCCCGCCCACCCCGGCTCAGGCCCCGCCTCAGGCCCACATTAGGCCCCGCCCCTAGGAGCTCCAGCTCCGCCCAACCCCTCTCTCCGGCCCCGCCCCTCCCCCGTCCCACCCCGAGTCCCACCCCGGCCGTCGCTAGGGTCTCGCCAGGTGGCCCTCTGCCCCGTCTAGGCTTTCCAGCGGCGCCCCGCCCGGGTTCCGCAGCGCCCCTGGCTCCCTCTCGCAGCTCCTCGATGGTCCCCCATGCTGGGCCTCCGCACTAGAAAACCAAGACAAAAAAGAAAACCAAGAATGTTGGTAATTGTGAAATATCGCTAAATTGCGTCACTGGCTCTCGAAGCGAGACACGGCAGTGGAGCTAGCATTACTGTCCTTTGAAGAGTCAGGCAAAGGTCTTTGACAACTGTCCTGTGATTCTAAAACACTTGTGGTTTCCTTGGGGGACTGTCTTGCCTGAGGGTTTCAGCTCCGGGCAAGTTCACTATGGATTTGGTGAGATAGAGGAATGACAATGAAAATTCTTGAGGTGAAAGGGTTTATACCCCCGCCTTATTCTCCAGGCAGTAGGTCCAGCACTAGAATGTCTGCAACTGGCAGTCTGCAGGCCCCTAATCCTCCTCCGTCTCTACCTCTGCCTCTGCCCAGAGCACTGGGCAGAGCTCTTTATACAGTGATTCAGTCAATAACAGCCCATTGCCTGTGGGTGTGGAAGCGGTACCCTAGTAGCAGGCCAGTTACATCATTAAGTAGTTTAGGGTCAGGTGAGGATCCTGGCCACAGGAACTTCCATTTTCCCCACACCACTCTAATATTTGCATATTGAAGTATACATTATTATTTAATTTTTAATACTTTTTGTTACAGTTAAGGCATTTGTATTAATTTAAAATTTTAATTGGTATGTAGATGAAATTATTTTTGGTTTTCCCTTAAGGATGGGAAAGGATGTTACAACCTTTGAATAGGGAGCATTTTTCTTACAGGGCTCTGACACACACCCACACCCAGCACAGGTGACGTTTGGCAGGAAGAGGGCCAGGCAGGTGAGAGCCTGTCAGAGGTGGTGACAGCTGACCTGTGTTGACAAAGAGAGTAAGTAAGATGAAGGTGCAGGATGAAAAGCCATTTTGGGCAGGTAAGTGTAGGTGTAGCTCAAGGTAGGCAGAGAGGTGTGTGGGGAGCAAAGGGTGCTGGTGGGGGAAAAGGAGCCACACAGCTGGGCAGACTGTTGAAGTATAACTACAGAGGGCCTTGAGTGCAGAGCTAAGGAATCTGGATGCCAACCCCAAGGCTTTAGAGGGTCACTGAATTGTACAAGTAGCCAGATGCACCCATCCATTCAGCCAGTGGCAGTACATGCTCTACACCAGTGTGGGGAAGTTGGGGTTCCTATGGCCAGGATCCTCACTGAACTTAAACCACCTGATGATGTTACTAGCCTGTTGCTAGGCTACCACTTCCACACCTTTAGGCAATAAGCTATTTTTCCACTGTATAGAGAGCTCGGCCCAGTGCTCTGGGAGGAGGCAGAGGCACTAGTGCTCAGCCTACTGCCAGGAGAACAAGCCGGGTAATAAACCCTTTCACCTGAAAGAAAGTTTTGCTGTCAATTTCTTTGGTCACATTGAATCCATAGCAAACTTGCCCGGGGCTGAAACCCATTGGCAAGACAATTGGCAAAAGTTGGCAGGGTTCATTCCAAGGACAAAGACAAGCTGCCCTCATGGGAGGGGTGCTTCAGCGGGCTGCCCCTGTGAATGAGGAGACAGTGGATTTCCACCAATGGGTATGTGGTCCAAGGTGGCCTGCCTCCTAGAGGACTGGGACCCACACCAGGACTGGAGGCAAGTGGAGGTGATACCTGAGGCAGTAGAGGTGCTCTTGGTATAGTAAGTAGGTCTTTTGAGAGACAGAGTGCCCATGAGGCAGCGGGGACTGTGGGTTGGCTGCTTCTCACAGTATTAAAAAAGTCTACAGAAGAGAAGGATATGCTCCTGAAAAAGACCCAAGAAACAGCGGCACGAGAGGGTGAGCTGCAAACATTCCCTGAAGAAGGAAATGGTACTGATGTGAGAGGAGGCAGCATGAGAATGCTGACAGCAAGTTGCCATTGGATAGGTAAACAATTCCTTACAGAATGAGATGGCGGCACTGCCGGGTTCTCTGAAGGAGGAAAAAGCCGTCAAGGAAAGAGATGAACTCCTGAGGGAAGCACAGGCAGAGGTAGCATGAGAACATCAGCTGTGAAGCATTGAGGTGGAGGTAAGAGAATTTCTGAAGACTGAGGTAGCATTGCTGCGAAGCACGGTAGAAAAGGTAAAGGTTGTAGCAGAGGAGGCACTCGGGGGAGGGGAGAGAAAGGTGCCATGAGCCCCGGAAATGGAGGAGTTGGGGAAGGATGAAGGGGTGGTGCTGGAGGCACTGGCACCTCCTGTATTGAAAGCACGCCCAGTGGTTGTAAAGAAAATAAAGACCCAGCAGCTGAAAGTTCCCCAAGGGGAGGAGCAGCCCCCTCTCCAGGTCGTGGAGCACTCTATGGTCTGACCCCTATACTCAGGCTGAGCTGGTGGATTTGGGCTCCCGGTTTAGGCAGAAGCCCTCAGAGTCAATATCAGTTTGGCTCCTGCGTCTGTGGGACTTAGGGGTGGATAGAATTGTTCTGCTGGGATCAGAGATGGGAAAGCTGTCTTCCCTGACAGTGCAGCCTGCCTTGAGGCAGTGATTACAGAATGCACATCAGACCTCAGGGAGTCACTCCCACCTCGATTGGCTTATGGATACACTTAGTGCTGTGTGGCCCAATCAGGGTGATCTACCATCCTCTCCTGTTAGATGGCAGACGTATGCTGAGCTCCAACAGGTGTTACGAGAGCTAGGCATAAGAAATGCCATCTATAGTCCGGAGAATTATGGTCCAGATGAAGAGATTTTCACTATTGGGATGATAAATACTGTGCTTCAAATGGCTCCCACATCCCTCTTTGGGTCTCTAGTGGCCATTCTTTCTCCTCGCTTAGAGCAGCCCATAAGCGAGGTGACACATACAGTAGCAGACTTAGGAGAGGCTTAACCAAGGAGAACCCAGAAAGAAATAAAATCTGTTACTCACAAGAAGAATTTAAAGGGCCCCATGAAGGTTACGAGGACCCAGATGTGGGTTGACTTAATACGGGCAGGAGCAGGTGGAAGGAAATTAGTTGGGAAGTCAAATAGGATCTTACTAGAACTATGGCAACAACTGAAACCAGTGCATCAGTTCCAGCCATTAAGGCCAAAGAGGCAGAGGTCAGAGACAGAGCCACAAGTCCAGTCTGTGTGTTTGCAAGACTTCCTGCTGGACAGCGAGCCAACCTCACTCAAGCCCACACAGGAAGGTGATTGGGGAACATGGTTTGACTGAGGGAAAGGTCAAGGTATCTGCCTGAGGGACCGGGGGGGGTGGGACCGGAGGCCACATGTTGAAGTAGCTACCCACTGGTCCCCAGTGAACATACAACGTGTCCTGGCTCTGGTGGACACTGGGGCTGAATGTTCACTGATTCATGGTAACCCTGAGCAGTTCCCCGGGACCCCCACTATCATAGATGGATACGGGGGTAAGGCTATCAGAGTGAAAAAAGCCCAAATCCCTTTGGGAATAGGGCGTCTATCCCCAAAAGAGTATATTGTGTATACATCTCCTATTCCTGAGTATATTTTGGGGGTTGATATCCTGCAGGGTCTATGGTTGCAGACCACTGCAGCCGAGTTCAGACTTAGAGTACATGTGGTGAAGGCAGTTCTGAGGGGACATGCTAGGCACCCGCCCATAGTTGCCTGTGCCTCGGCGGGTGACTAATACCAAACAATACAAACTGCCTGGAGGGCATAAAGAGATTGGAGAAACTCTCCAGGAGCTGGAAAAGGTGGATATTATAAAGCCCACCCATAGTCCTTTCAATTCCCCAGTGTGGCCTGTAAAAAAGCCAGATGGCTCCTGGCGTATGACTGTGGATTACAGAGAACTGAATAAAGTCATACCCCCTATGCATGCTGCTGTCCTCTCTATTGCAGGCTTGATGAACACCCTCAGCCATGAACTAGGAACATACCATTATGTGGTAGATCTTGCTAATGCCTTCTTTTCCATTGACATAGAGCAGGAAAGTCAGGAACAGTTTGCCTTCATGTGGGAAGGATGGTGATGGACGTTCACCATCCTTCCACAGGGATACCTCAACAACCCCAACATCTGTCATGGACTTGTAGCCCAGGACTTGGCTACATGGGAGAAACCACCAACAGTGCAGCTGTACCATTATACTGATGATGTCATGCTCACATCCGATTCTCTTTCAGATCTAGAAGGTGCAGCACCTAGACTGGTGCAACATCTACAGGAGAAAGGATGGGCTGTGAACAGCACCAAGGTTCAGGGACCTGGTTTGTCTGTCAAATTCTTGGGGGGTTGTCTGGTCAGGTAAGATCAAAGTTATACCAGAAGCAGTTATAGGTAAAATCCAGGCCTTTCCTATCCCCACAACTGTAGCATTGCTACAGGAGTTTCTGGGTCTTCTAGGCTACTGGAGAGTGTTTATCCTGTACTTGGCACAAAGTCCGAAGCCCTTATACTGGTTGGTATGAAAGGGCATCAGGTGGGGCTGGGATGAGACATGTGCATCTGCCTTTACTACAGCAAAACGGGCAGTCAAGGCCGTGCAGTCGTTGAGCGTGATAGACCCATCAAGACCCTGTAAGCTGGATGTTCATGTGACTGAAAACGGTTATGGTTGGGGTCTCTGGCAGCAGCTTGAATGAATTTGTCAACCTATTGGATTCTGATCACAACTCTGGAAAGGGGCAGAGGTATGATACACTTTGATAGGAAAAAAACTGGCTGCCGTGTATTACACCTAGCTCGCTACAGAACCCATCACTGGAATGGCCCCAATAAAAGTAATAACCCCTATCCCATCTTGGGGTGGGTACGAGACTGTACCCAAAAGTCAAGGAGTGG